TGAATTAACAGAAATTATGAGACAAAAGGATGATAAGACTTTTGCCATTGCATTAAGTAATATAGCTAAAGGAACAATGACAGATGAAGATATTAATTTATTAAAGTCCCGAATTGTTTCAACTGAAAATTTGGAAACGATTGAAGATGCCATAAGGATATTCAGAAGCAATGCTGAAGTTGATGCCTACAATACAAAAGTATTGGCTAATCTTAATGCTGAAGGTGCAACTGCCAATGCATATGACTTTTGTATTGGTGATGGACTTGCATCATTAAAAGAAAAAGTGTTGAACAACGTAAAGAATCTCAAAACAACTGAAACTTATGGCTTACCACTTAAAATCGATTTGAAAGTGGGCGCTAAGTATATGTTGACAGTCAATTCTGATACTGAAGATGGATTAGTCAATGGTGCTTGTGGAAAATTAGTAATGATTGATTACGGAAAACTTCAAAAAACCAATGAAACAGTACCATGTAGAATATGGATTAAATTCAATGGAGAAAAAACTGGAAGAAAAGCTAGAGCCAATTTTCACAATGTAATGCGTAATAGAAATATTGATTCTAGTCTTACACCAATCGAACCAGTAATACGTCAAATAAATACGAAGTCAACAAACTTCAAAGTAGAACGGAAGCAGTTTCCAATAGTACCTTGTGAAGCTATGACCATATACAAAAGTCAAGGCGGTACTTACGAGAAGGTTGTTGTCAATTTGAAGAAGGGAATGACAAGATCTGAATTATATGTTGCTTGTAGTCGTGCAACAAAAGCAAGTGGTTTATACTTAATTGGAGACTTCGTTCCACCAAAACCACCTGAACGTAATGATGCAGTGACGTTGATGTTCAAAACTATGAGATCCGAGCGAATGCTGAAATTTTCGCTTGCATTTCCTGAAGAATCTGAAGAGAAAAAATTTTCCATTATCTTTCATAATGTACAATCATTGAATAAGCATATTTCAGATGTTAAATTTGACAAAACATTTTTCTCTTCTTCCATGATAAGTCTTGTTGAAACATGGACAAAACCAAGTGATAACTTAGAAATTGAAGGTTTTAAGATAGTTCACAGACGTGATTGTCATGATGTACGAAAACCATTCGGTCAAATCATTTATTTAAAAAATGATTTAAAATTCGAAAATATCACCGAAAGATATGAATATTCAGGCAAAGATCATATTGAATATTCTTCGATAAAAGTTGATGATATTTGTATAATTTCCGTTTATAATTCACCAAATTCATCATTCGATGTCCTAAGACGACATATGAATGAAGTTATAACTATTTCAAAAAGATTTTGTGATAATATAATTGTCGTTGGTGATTTTAATATAAACTTGAAGATTAAAATCAATAACAAATTTATTGAATATATGAAATCATTTGGACTTAGTTTGAATAATACACTAAATAAAGATTCAACTAATGCAAAAACACAAATTGACTATTGTTTCACTAATATGAAAGACGTAAAGTCTGATTATTTTGAAAGTCTTACAAGTTTTCATAAACCAATATGGATAAGAAAACATAAAGTTTTGACTAAGTTTCATTTGGATGAAACCGAAGACATTCGTACAAATATACCTTTTAATATTGAAGATGTTATAGCTGATGATCAATCTGACACGATGGAAGTCGATGAGAAATTCGTTTTTGAATGTCATGAAACAGTCGATAAGAATGAACAAATTGACTTAGATATGTCCTTCCAATTAGAAGATCTCAAAGTGAATGAGCCATTTGATACGATGGAAACTGAAGAAAAATCTTTTCCCACAAACTATGAAATCATTGATTCAGACTCAAGGAAGATTCTTGATCATTTTCTCCTTCTACTTGAATTTGATAATGCTGCAGGGACTACCCAAATTTCAAGTCAAGCTCGAATAATCGATGATTTAATTGAAAAGTCGCCATTTATAACTGTGTATAACAAAGATCGATCTGTTAAAATCAGACCGAAAATAGAATATTCTGTTGAAGCATTTGATGCATTTTACGCACGAACTCATACAACTGGAGATGGAAATTGCTTGTACAATTCTTTATCAATAATAAAAATTGGATCTGAAGAACTAACACACTCAATGAGATTATTGGCAGTCAATGCTATGATTAATAATAGTAATCATTTCAAAACCATTTGCCGTTTACTGAATTATTCATTTGAAGAACAGTTAAAGAGAACTGCCACAAACGAACAATGGGGTGGAGAAGTTCAAATTCATGCACTTTCTATAGCATTACGTCAGCCCATTTGTTCTTATGTTAAATTTCTCGATGATCCAAAACGTGTACACTATACTCCATCTGATATCAGTACACAAGATTTGATTAACAGATTTGATAATGGAACTGCAGGAGGTCATCTCAAATATATTGGATATAAGTCAGATATGAATAAATCAAGTTTATGTATTCACTTTACCGGCATTCATTACGATGCTCTCTTGCCATTTTCAAATAATGCCCATCAATTCATACCAAAAAATGATATAATTGATATGAGTTTGTGAAAAAGAAAAAAAGAACTAGATTTAATTTAAAAAATAAGTTATATTTATATAAACAAGTAAAGTCTCTGGAACTAACTCCTCGCCAGGTCCTATGGGACAAAAAGAGGGCATCCGCAGGGCCTAAGAGGCAGTTCCTTAGTGCGCTCAAGGATGATTTTTTTCGAATCATCAAAACCAATCTGTCGTTAGGTTCACTTTTTGAAGTACACATAACACTCGGATTTCAATCCGAGGTTTCCGCATTTATTTTTCTATATGTACAATACTTAGACTCTGAATATTTGTTCCATTTTGCATATTTATCCCTGTGAAATTTAACTATTACACTATGAATTCACATCTTCTTGTAGTTCAACCTTGTTTATTTTTCCCTTTTTCTTTTCTACCTTTGAAAATATATTTGTGTCAAAATAGATATATTACATTGTGTCATTTTTTTCTAGATATATATATTAGAAACACATAGCTATGTCTACGAAAGACAATTTCAACAACACACCTGGCGCATACGAGCACTCATTGTAAGCAACTCATATATATATATACAGAGAAATAAAATAAAGCTGTCCAAACTACACCTATGTTATTATTTATATTTCAGGACAAACACAACAAACCATAAGCAATATGATAATTTACCATTACAAGCATCTGATCAAAATCAAAACATCGATTCTACTATTGATCAATTATTATCGAATGATTTCGTCACAACAAATCAATCAACTATAGAATTGAGCACAACAAATACTATTACAACTGAAAATAATTTCATACATAATCCTGAACGAAATCAAACTGCAGCAAGAAGAGCTAGAGTACAACCAAGACCACAACAACATCACCAGCAACAAACTTCCCAATAACTTTTGGCTTCACCATCGCACCCACTACTCAATCAACCCGTACAATTTAGGCCGTTTCAACAATTTCAACCAAGATGTCGTCAACAATTAAATCAGGCCCAACGACAACAACATCCACAACAACAGCGTCAACGAACAGAACCAAGACGCTACCGACGTTATCGACAATGGCAAGAAAGATTAAACCAACGAAGCCTGGACCGACAGCCTCAAACAAGACAAACATACTATAAAGATCGGTACGTCCATTACGATAGCGACGACCATCTCAGCATTGAAGATATGCACGATGAACTACTCGAAGGTTATGAATGGGAACAAATGGATGAAACAACAGAATGGGAACAAGAACAAATCAAAGACATTGAACGATTAGCAGCAAAAGATTTATTAATGACAACACACGATGAAATCGATCAAATACAACAGATCGAAACAGCCAAACAAATTACTGAAGACGAAAAAAAGGAACGCAACATACACCTATTAAACCAAAACGATCTCTTCGAACAACTTCAATTCATCCAATTACAACTACAACAACCATAAAACAATATCATAGGATACAAAAATTCCTTTTGAACTGTACATAGATGTAAATATTCATATCAAATAAAAACATAATAAAAATTTAGACAAATAAAAAAAAAAAACTATTCCTTAACATAACATATATACAAATATCATTTCAGATTAGAAAAGAAACAAATCAATTATCAAAACCAAATGAAATCAACCCAAAAACAATACAGTACAATTCCACCTTCTACAGCCATAACGCTCGAACCAACATACGCAAAAACAAAAAAACATTTCCGTAAGTCCATACAAATGCTAACACAATATAAAAAACTTCTTCCATTTAACCACAACGAAACCCAAACCGGAAGATATTAAAACTTTTAAAAACAATACACATATACATCACTACGAGGAGTGATGTTTCCATCTTTACCACCAATCTTCCATACTCTCATTACTAAATATCAAACTGTTTCAGAATTAATAACAAAGCACACTAATGTTGCAGGATTCTTTCGCAAATTCATTGATTTCTTAATTACTATAGAACATCCCCGATAATATATATTTAATTCTTAGTCATATTATATCCGAACACATTCCTACAAGCCTTCTAACGAGAGTACCCGCAGTAGCAGAAAAAAATTTAATTAAAATCAAAAAGCAATTGATAAGTAGAACATCAGCACGTATCGAAACCGGTCATGCTAGCTTTTGATAGATTTTTATTTGAATCACCGCATAAAACACATCCATACGTTGAAGGATATCTTCAAAAACTTTGTGGCGCACTTGCTTTCAAACCAGTAACGAGAAAGTACAGATTCGAAGGCAATATCAGCTTAGGACATTTACCTTTAAAACTTCTAACTATACTACTTGCAATAGGAGAATATTTAATTAAAATTACAAAGCAACTGATAAACATTTATCTTAGAGCTAATCGAAACACTTCTCTTGCTAGCTTTTGACTTTGATTCTTATTTGAATCACTTCATTAAACTCACCCATATATTGAAGAATCTCTTTACCAGTTCTTGGATCTTTTACTCAAAAAATATTCCGATGACTGGATACTTAGATTTTTTCAAATGCTTCAGAGTCTTCTCATAAGACTTTCCACATTGATAAATACTAATAGGAGAATTTCTTTATTATCTTTAAATCTTAAGCAATAGATACATGATTATCTTACCGGTAATCGACACCGGTCTTGCTAGCTATTTTGATTGATTCTTATTTGAATCACTTCT